CCGCTTATGCAAATGAAGCCCGGGAAATTCAAATCCCGGGCTTCATTTGCAAGTGCGGTATGCCTACATTACCCTCCTAGTTTTAACTAGGAGGGTAGTGTAGACATACCCCTAGAGTTTAAGTATTATCACATTAACATACTCTTTTACATCTTGAAGTTGCTTGTATATTTGAACTTCTGTCATTTCGTCTTAAACTTTTGGATAGTTTAATTTAAACACAAAGCTAACATACTGGTAGGCTCTATCTAGTGCTGCTGTTTGGGAATTTCACAGTGATGAACAAAATATGTATAGGTAATATAAATACAGTTATTCAAAATACCTTTCATTATAACAAAACTGAAGAAATCCATTTCTTTACAATCAGTAAAAATATTAATATTATTATTATTATTTTTATTAATTCCGTTGCTCTTGCATTTAAGTGCCCAATTTGTGGATCATGAACCCATTGTACTAGCCTCTGGGCAAACAGAAGAAGATAGTTCCTACCCCAAAGACTTGCAAAATTCCTCCCTTCCAACCTTCCACCCTTTTCAAATGCTTAAGGGAAAAAAGATAAACTTTTCAGAAGATCAAAGAATATCTGACTGAGCTATGAATAACTAGTTTGTTCTCCCATGGCAATCTTCAAAAACAGATCAGTGTGTTATGGACAGTGCAGTTGTGGGAACTCTGCTTTTAGCTATTGACAGACTATTACAAATTAATGAATAAAAGGGAAGAGACTAAAGAGCTCACCATTTTATTCAATTTGCAAATGATTAGTGACCAATGTAGGAGGACAGGTAATTTTTCAAAATTATCATTAGAAGTAGGTGCTATTTATAAGCATTTCAGAATAGGGAAACTTCAGAAAATTAGAGCTTGAATAAATAAAAAGTATTTAAAGTTATTACTTACCCTTATCAGAGAAGCATGGATTTGTAGTAGAGAAGATTTGAAGGAAAAAAACCAAACAAAAAGCCCCCGAAGAAAAAACCCCCAAAAAAACCCCCGCAGAAAAACCCCCAAAAAAAACCCCAAACAAAAAACACACCCCACTGATTTGGCCCCCAGCTGAGAAGATGACATTCCCTTCCCATACCAGAACCTAGAGGGGCCCTGCCTAGTAGATTTTGTGTGCTCCAGTCCCATGGATGGGCAGCGGGGGAGAGGGGGCTGGAGTGTCTGCGCATGCTCCCTAATACGGGGTGGGGAGGCTGTGCCTCAGGGACCAGATCCAGGCAAGCCAGGGGCCAGATCGACCCCTGGGCCTGAGGTTCTCCACCCCTGTTCTAAATGATATTCCAGAAAACATATACGCTCTGAATCAATAATTAATCCTGCAGAAAGTATGTGAGAGGGAGCTAGAAAAATATATTTTAAAAAATGAGGAAATTTTCAAGTCAGCCACCTTATCATTTTGATATGGAAATAATTGGATATCAAAATAGTTTACAGCAGATTGCAAGTTTTAATTTGGTAAGGTAACACCAGAGGTAGTTGAACCTGAATAATGAAAACAATATCTTCAGTTAGTGCTATAAATACTGCTCGTAATACTATTATGGAAACTCTGGTTTCTAGTTATTTTGTTTTGGAGCAACTTTACTTCAACAATGGAGAATGGTACAATAGGAATAGTGCATTAATATATGGACAAAAAGAACAGTCATTGTAGGCAATGAGCAATAGTTCTCTTGGCCCTGGTCTATAATAGGGAGTTATTTTGAGAACTTACTTTTTTTCAAAATAACAAGTGGAGCATCCACACTACCAAGCCTGTTATTTTTCTTTTAAGTACATCAGAAGCCAGCTAAATAACTAGTGGGAGCCTTACACAATCGAGATGATAAGGGAGCATTCAAAGATGATTAAGTCATTGTGGAGAAGCTAAACGAATTCTTTGCTTCAGTCTTCATGGCTGAGGATATTGGGGAGATTTCCAAACCTGAGCCATTGTTTTTAGATGACAAATCTGAGGAATTGTCCCAGAGTGAGGTGTCATTAGAGGAGGTTTTGGAACAAATTGATAAAGTTAATAGTAACAAGTCATTGGGACCATATGGTATTCAAATGGGAAATTGTGGAACTATTAACTGTGCTTTGTAACCTGTCCTTTAAATCAGCTTCTGTACCTAATGACTGGAAGATAGCTAACATGATGCCAATATTTAAAAAGGGCTCTAGCAGTGATCCTGGCATAGCTAGAACTTTAACAGGGTTAAAAAAAGAGCTAGATAGATTCATGGAGGTTAGGTCCATCAATGGCTATTAGCCAGGATGGGTAGGAATGGTATCCCTAGCTTCTGTTTCTCTGGAGGTAGAGGGACAGAAGAGGGATCACGTGAGGATTACCTGTTGTGTTCCGTCCCTCTAGGGCATCTGGTATTGGCCACTGTCAGCAGACAGGATACTGGGCTGGATGGACTGACCCGTATGGCAGTTCTTATGTTCTTATTTCGAAATAACAGGCTGGTTATTTCAAAATAATAACTTACGCTTTCCACGAGTAGTAATGCTATTTTGAAATAGTTATTTCAAAATAGTGGTAGTGTGGATGCACTGGTGCCGCTATTTCAAAATAACTTCTTCCCAAAGTAGTTCAGACTAATTACTCCCCAGTGTTTCTTGGGGCTCTAAGTCAAGGTAGTGTGTTCACATCAACAATAGTGGGGACATGCTATTTCAAAATTATTATTTCAAAATAATTTCCTACTGTAGACAAGCCCATAGACTTGGAAACTAAAATTTTTCACGAGGGATTGTTGATCAAATGAGTTGTTCCCCCTTGTTTTTGAAGAATACTGTTATATTCAATTTCTTTTAGCAAATACATTATTTTGATAAGCACAAATCATTCTCATATTTACTGTATTAAAGCTCTGTAAAGAGCTGAATTTATACATTTAAAATTAAATATGAACTCAAATTTAGTTTAACAGAATAAAAACTAGATCTGTGTACAGTCTGTTCTTTTAGCTTTCATTTTTATATTTACAAATGGAAACATCAGTTTTTCAATTCCAGAATAGTGACCTCTTGTGGTGTAAATATGTTGTTGGGTTTTGTAGAGTTTCCCTTTATAAATGTTATGGAAAGGCTTTATATTTAAATATAATTGATTTGTATGACTGGGAAAAATAATAATTGAACTGGATTTATTAATTATAGTATACAGTGTTCTGTATATTGCATTTGGAGAAGGAAACATATTGGTTCCTGTCCTTTATTTTTTGTCATGTGCCTTTTTCTTTTAGTGACCAAAATAAAATTGGTGACAAGCCTTCGTCAAATCTAAGCCTCACTGACTGGAATAAATCAGGAAACAAAGCAGGTATCATATTTTTAAATCTCTTCTCAATTCATTTTTCTGTTTGTTTTTTTTGCTTACACCATTTGCATTAATGGATGTGAAGTTCACACAAACGGAAATGATTCAATTTCTGTGTTTCTTTCTCTTCATTTCTTTATGCTTCACTGGACAGTGATTTTTGTAAAATGTGATATATGTAGAAGAATATTTGACCTTTTGAGCCGTTAAACATGATTTCCTGATATTTCCATACTTAGAAGTTCTAACTTTCTTATTTTCTTATGTTTGGTCTTGAGAATTTGGACTGCCAAATGTAAAGGATATGAATATCTAGGGCAGAATGAGGCTATACAAGTTTACACCAGCTGAGGTTACAGAGTGTATGAATTTGGTTATTTGCGTATCAGATATTCAGTAAATAATGTTTCTTTTACAGTATTTATGATATAAATGCTTGGTAAACTTGTAGCAGCTGGTTTGCTGTTTTTAAAGCTGTTGTTCTTTAAGTATGGCTTGATCCTGGTCTGGAAGATGCTGAGGTGCTCTTCACTCTCCAGTTTCCAGTGACTTTTGTCGAAGTTGTGGGTGCTCAAGGTTTTACAGTTGTTTGTTCATGTTTTATATAATATATATATATACAGCGTGTGTGTGTGTGTCAGAAATCTGTATAGGGAAAAGGCATATGAACTAATAGAACTCTTTATTTTCAATTGTAGTGAGTAAGAACCCTGTTAATAAAATAAAATGCTGAATCTTTGTTAGGTCACACATATTTGGCCTTCCTTCAGCTATCACCAGAATAAATTATGGGAGACTGGTATAAACTCAGATGTACATAGCTCAGGAGGGAAATGTAAAACAAAAATCTTTCACTGAAATGTAGATATTTTCAAAATATGATTTCAGCAGTACTCTTATAACTGTAACATTTTAGAGAGGAAATAGTGTATTTTAGCTTTAGTGCCCTTGTGGTCAGAGGGTATTCTTTAAATAGGCTAAAAAGATTTAATCAGGTAGTATGTAGCTTTCTAAAGCTAGTGTTGCTAAGGCTCTTGTACCTACATGCTAAAAACATCAACCAATAAAGAGACTAATTCATGTAATTTTTTGTGACCAGAATGCAAAGCTGTGGTTAAGACCTATTAGCCACTGAGACGGCAAACTTTTTACTGAACTTTTTGCTTGAATTTTAGTATCCTAATATTGTTGAATCATAAATTGCACTTCATTAAAGAACTGTAACTGAAACTATTAATTTTCACCAACACTTTTAAGAAAATGTCTAAATACTGAGAAATACAAAGCTTTGTTGTTGCCTTTTTTTATAACCATGTTTTGCGCTGTGAATTTTTGTTGTTTCAGTTAATAATGTATATTAAAGACTGCTTGTGATTTTTCCCCAGGAGGTTCAAGTAGTCTGGAAACTGTATGAAACCACCTGGTTTTAATTATATGACTTTTGGGTTCTGGATTGCATGGTTTTTCTGGTGTACGTGAGATTTAAGAAAATGAAGCTGAAGAGCATTTTAGGTTTACAGCACATTTTGGTTGTTAGTGTGAACTTTTACCCTCACACTGCAAATCCTATTAATTATGACTAGTCAGGTGCAGAAAGTTACTGCATTCTTGCTTGCAAGATCAAACTTTTTACATGAATTTAGGGATGGGGTGTAAGAATCACTTCTTTTTATGCTGAAACAAAAAACAGGACTATGTAGCACTTTTAAAGACTAACAAGATGGTTTATTAGGTGATGAGCTTTCGTGGGCCAGACCCACTTCCTCAGATCAAATAGTGGAAGAAAATTGTCACAACTATATATACCACTATTTTCTTCCACTATTTGATCTGAGGAAGTGGGTCTGGCCCACGAAAGCTCATCACCTAATAAACCATCTTGTTAGTCTTTAAAGTGCTATATAGTCCTGTTTTTTGTTTCAGTTCCACCAGACTAACACGGCTACGTTTCTATCACTATTCTTTTTATGTGTTAGCTAACATTTGTAAATGATTGCCACTTAACTATCATCAGTATTGCCTTCTAATAGAAGCAATCACAAAACACAGCAAATACTGGCTACTTTCTTGGGTCAAAAAGAGTAACTCTACTAAACTAACTCTTGAGCATTCTGATCCGCTGGCTATAATTAACACTGTATAGATCATGTGAGAGTATATTATTCATAGTCCAGGTTACTCTGCTAGTTTGGGTGGAGAATGGGATTTCTGAATTCAAGGAAAAATCCTATCATTCCTACTTTAAACTTACCATATATCCCTATAATCAAAGAAGACATCTGACCACTATTGCAATAATTCTATATTTAGCTATTTGCCACAATTCTGAAAACTTAGTTAATGAATTCATAGATCTTAAGGCCAGGAGAAAACATCATACGCTAGTCTGACTTGCATAACAGGCCATAGACTTTCACCAGTGGGTTTTTTTTTTCGAGGTTTGATCTTTAGCTTCTGATTGAACAAGAGCATACCATTTAGACAGGCATCCATTCTGATTTCTGTTTGAAGGATTTAATTTTGATAAAAGTTTAATAAAAATTGGAGGATGTCAGGGGGTTCGCCCCGACGGGGGGCGCGTCCCTCTTCTCGGGTCCCGGGTTTCGGTCCCAGCCCCTCTCTCAGGGCACATATGGTACTAGAGTCCCAGTACAAAAGTCCAGGCCCCTCTCTCAGGGCATATAGTACTAGAGGCCTAGCTCCAGGGAAAAGCCTCTCCTTGTCAGGGTGATTTCCCCGGGTGTGGAAAGAGGTGGTAGGGGGACCCCTCTCCACCGGGTCCCAGCCCAGGGCCCTATAAGCAGGGACTCTTGCCGCTGCCTGCTCGGTAGGGACTTCAGCCGATACACACCAAGCTATGTTAGTGATCTCTTGCCCTGGGCTGCTTCCTACCACCCTGGCGTCCCTCCCAGCCGTCTGCCTTGGCAGCGGTCCTTACCATGGCCGGGGCTGGAGGTAAAGGGGGTCCGGTCCCTCAGAGGGGTTGGCTGCTGTCGGTACTCCCGGGGGTAGATGCGGACCCCCACTCTGGCGTCAGCTGCTGCAGGAAGACCGGGGCTGCAGCCTGGGTCCTTCTAGCGTCCGCCTGCCTCCTCTCCTGCTGGGTTCCCTCCTCCTTTATATGCTGGTTCTGCTGGGAGCATGCCCCTCAGGGCTGGAAGGGCGGGGCTCTTTCAGCCAGCTGGGCCTGCGCTACTCCCAGCCCTTCAGTGCGGGGCCTGTTCGCCCCGTCACAGAGGGCAAATCAGAAGTTATGAAGTTGCCATGTTTTCAGTTAACCTGGTGCAGAATATACAGGCGACCCCTGCACTTACGACTTAATAGGTTCCTGGAGAACCGTTGTAAGTCGAGCTGTCGTAAATTGACATTCTTATTTCCCATAGGCAAAATGTTATAAATGGGGATTCTGTTCCTGGACTGTTTTACCTCCTGGGAGGAGTTGTCCTCAGAGTGCTGGGCCCAGAGCTATTATGGATGGAGGCGGCTCCACGTGTCCCAGAGCCAGCGGTGTGAGCTGCGTCCAGAGCCGGCCGGGGCTGCGGGCAACTGGCTGGCCCCATGTCTGATTGGCCACTCTGGGCCGGAGCAGTATGGTTGTAAATGTGGTCGGAAGTCGGCCTGTACTTGTAAGTTTATTTGTGCTGCAGTTAAAACTTCCACATAATATAATTATTTTTAAATCTACTTTGAAGGTTCAGAGGATGACTCAAGAGTAAATGAAACAGAAGAAGAAGAAAACTACTGGAATGTGAAGATTTTACCAATTGTGTATGAATTAGAGAATGGTAAGTAACATTTTTTGATATTTCAGTAATAGTGAACACATAGTTTAAAGAGCAAATTGAGTATGATGAGGAAGGCTTAATTTTGAGTGTCTTCACTTTTCCCACATGGAAGTAATCCATTTAACGTTGCTTTTATAAAAATAGTTAATTTCCTTCTGTAGTGACATTTTAAAATACAATTATTTTAGTAGGAATATATATGAAGAGAGGAGTGAGTGGAGGGAGGTTATATTTCACAGGCAGGTTAGAAGTTTCAGTGTAAAGTTAAAGACCCTATTTTATGCTGTAGTTAAACCTGGGCAATCTTCTGTGTAAAATGTTGCAAAATCAAAATACTGTTTTACATAAACTTTGTGTGTGTGTAAATAATTGCGTACGAGCAAGGCAGTGGTGAAAGTAGCTCAAAAGGCTTACTCATTTTACAATAAGTAAAGGGTACTCTCTTCCTGTACCAGGAACTGCTGAAAGCCCCTAAAAGTGAGTGCTGGGGAGAGGGCTCTGTGCCTGAACTATGGCTCTGCCTACCCTTTGCTCTTCTTCCTCTAAGATTCTGTCCCCACATCACTCCTCTGCAAGGCCCTGCTCCCCATTGTTCCTTCTCTTCAAACCTTTGCCCTTGCACCACCCCTTTCCTAAAGGCTCTGTTCCTGTGCTGCCTCTTCTCCCCCTCCCCAAGACACCTCCCCTCCACTCACTCCTCTCTGTCTCTTCTCCTGCAGCTCACCCTTATAGCCAGTAAAAATGGGGAAACCATTGCCCTTGCTGCTCTTCCTACATTCCGATGCCCCTGGCCTGTATGTCATACTTTCAACAGCTGATTTAAGGAAGAGCGCTAATCAGAAATCTTAAAACTGCTACATATTCTGTCTTAGTTTAAATTAAGGTATCCTAATAGAAGCCAGCTAGTTAGGGGGTTTAAAAAGTGGGATGATGTTGAAAAAGGGAGATTTTTCCAGAGCATAGAGATGGATCTTACACTTGCGTATATTCGATTAAAAACTTATTTTTAATTTTTTAAATGGTTTTTTTTTTCCCTTAAAAAAAATCAGTCTTTGGTCCTTTCCCACTAATTGATTGATGAATACAGTACTGTGAAGCACTGAGTAACAGTTGTGGGGTTTCTTTAATGTTCTTTTTGTCTAAAGCTAGAATGACAGTCATTCCCTCCTTTAGCTGCATTCCTATGCTTCCTTTTTTTGGGCCTTCAGTGCACAGTTACAATATTTATTACTAAGCCATTTCTGAATTTCCATAATTTAAATGAGTGGATCTATTAGTAATAAGATATTTACTTAGAGTTTCTTGTAGATAATCCTATACAGCAGAACCTCAGAGTTACGAATACCAGAGTTACCAACTGACCAGTCAAATACATATTTCATTTGGGATTGGAGGTATGCATTCAGGCAACAGAGACAGGGACCCCTCCCCCAAAAGTGGTAGTGTTTAAACATAAACTAAAAGCAGTATTTTTTCCTTTTTCAAAGCTGTAAAGTTATGTTGTAAACTTTTGAAAGATCAGCCATAATATTTTGTTTAGACTTATGATAAACCACCATATTTGAGGTGTTGGTAACTGGGGTTCTACTGTACTTCATTTTCTTTTGCTAATTGCATGTGAATTTACTTAAGTCATATAATTGGTTCTGCATATTCATCTACTATATATTTGAGAGAGTTTGTTTTTTCTTTGAGTGAGTCTGTCTGTCCCATCTGTTTGTTCAAGAACTCCTAAATGGTAAGAGGTAGGACCACCAAATTTTAGTATGCATCTTCCTCTTATCATAAATTAAAGCAAGATAAAGGTTTGATTGTGTCAGAAAAATGGGATGTGCCTGGAATGCTATTGTTTTCCATAAAACTAAAAGGGGGCAGGGGCTAGCAAGGACAGTTATACTGTGATGACCACAGCAGGACAGCAAGGGACTAGAGATGGGGATTGGGACAGTTATAACCACACTGGGCCAACAGGGACCAGGGGTGGAGATAAGTTTTCTGCTCTGCCTGACCAGTGTGGCCCTCGCTATGGCCAGCCATAGGGAGCTGCTACATGGCTGTCACGGCCCCTGCTGCAGTGGACCCTGGAGAGCCATTGCCAGTCAGTGCAGCCTCTGCTGGCTTCAGCTCCTCCATATCCCTATGCCCTTGTACTGAGTTGCCCTTCCACTCCTCGAATCTGACTTCAGGACTCCTCCCCCCAATAACCTCCTGTCCTGAGCATCTCCTCACTCCTCAACCTTGCATCCCCCACACACTGCATCCCCCACACACTCCTGCATCCCCCCCACACCCCAAACCCCTACCCTGAAGGATCTGAACAAATGGCAGGTAAATCTTCTAGTATTAATAAAGCCTTTTTCCTCTTTTAAAGTGCATGGACAAAACTGACAATCTGAGCTTAAAATTCTAATTTTGATTATTATTCAAGCTCTTACGATTGTCAGACTCCCTTCAAATAATTGTTACAAATCAAAAAAGTACTTCTCTGTTCACTAAGAGTGAATTGAGCCATTTTGAAAAGCTCAGTGTCAGTGGTGATCCAGGGGTACTGGCAGCTTCTGTGGGCCCCTGGGCAAGGTGGGGGTGGCTGGCTCTTCACTCCCAGAAGTGGTTCAGCCAGGGGCAGCTAGCCCTCACTGCCACCTGGAGCGTGGCGTCTCCTCCCCCCCGCCCCATCAGTGGGCCTGGATGATACACAACTGGACCACGCCAGGAGAAGCAACACAATGTATTTTGTTTCCCTCAGTAGGGATGTTAAAGACTAGTTGACTATCCAATATGCAAATGCTTATCGGATAGTCAGTCGACTAGTTGATTCCCCCCTCTTGCTGCCTCTATCACACAGAGGCACCAAAGGGTGCAGGGGGGAGAGGGTACTTCAAAGCAGCAGCGCTGTACAGCTGAGCCGCCGTGCATGGAGCCTGGGATCAGCTAGTGACTCCCCAGCTGATCCCAGCTTCCAGCACGGCATTTCCGTGGAATCTGGGATCAGCTGGGGAGTCCTCAGCTGATCCTGGGTTCTGGGGAAATGCCGCGTGGAACCCGCAGTCAGCTGAGGATTCTCCAGCTGATCCCGGGTTCCACTGAAGTGCCACATGGAACCCAGGATCACCTGGGGAGTCCCTGGCTGACCCCAGCTTCACGTGGCATTTCAAATTGGCAGTGCAGCATGGAGCCCGGAGCCAGCGGGAAGTCCTGCTGACCCCGGGCTCCATGCTGCACTGCCGATTTGAAATGCACAAGAGCCCCTGTTGGGGACTTTTGTACATTTCAAAGCTGGCACGCTGTGTGCAGCCTGGAATCAGCGGGATTTCCTGCTGGCCCTGAGCTGCATGTGGAGTTCCGATTTCCTCCTTCAAAATGTACCCAGTGTGCTCGACTAGTAAATTAACGGTTACATAACATCCTTATCCCTCAGTTCTCCAACTTTATAGATGGAGTGCAGCTGTTCATGAGTTTTAATGTACTTCTCTCAGTCCCTCCTCCTCCATTTACGGGTATAGAGATGGGGCTAGAATCATGACCCTGCTTTTTCTTGTGCCATCAGGGGCATAGTTCTAGTCATTGTGCTTCATCGATCCTTTTAGGGAGTGCACAGGATGGAAGGTAGCTCTTTGAACTCTCCCTCTTCCCATTTCAAGACAGACCTGTGTGAAGGCCAGGCACAATTTAGCCTGATATGCCAGTCTTCCTATCTACAGAAACATATGTATATTAGAAATATACAAGGTAACTCATGGGGCAGTGTGGAAATGAGTGTTCCCTCTGGTGATTTTATGCTGTTTCCAATTTGGGTAAATCAACCGGAATGTACTGCTGATTTTTTCCTAAAATTTAAAATTACATATAATGCATAAAATATAAAGATTGATGCTGCATGTCTTGAAATCATTAGAAATATCACACAATAACATTATTTTGGGTTTCTTGTTTAGTGTTTAATGAATAACATTTTATTTTTTTTCTTTTAAAAAGGGAATTCCTGGAGAAAAACTGTAAATGACTGGAGTTAGGATTGAAGTATGCATCAGTTATAGAATCTTAAAAAAAATCCAAACGTATTAAGGAATGGAAAAGCACAGTTAACCTCACCTCTCAAGTTACAGGTGCCTTATTAATGCAGTAGTGACCAGTCTATGGTGAGACCATGAGGGGGAGAAAATCTAATGTGCTTTTAAAAATTAATTAAAGTGAATCTTGATCTACAAATACTGTTATACCCACATCGTGATTTGCATGGGTACTTCATGACATCACTGAAAGGTGGATTTAATTATTGTTTGGGTACATCAGCTATGCATTTCCATGCCTTAATGTGGCTGGGCTTTTTAAAAAAGAAACCTATGGAATTTCTGGGTTTATCATATTTGTTTTGAGGATACTTCATATAATAAATGTATAAATATAACAAATTACTGATGTATACTTTCAATTTTAACTGGTTTAATGATGTTTTTGTCTGGGAATTCATATCTGAGCGTTCGTGTACTCGTCTCTCTTCCCCACCCAAATGCTACAAGGAGTATGTAATATGTAATGTATTTTGTCAGTAGATGTATGATGGTATATAGCTTAGAAAAAATATTTAGATTTTGACATTTTCACTGCATGTATATAATGGCCTTTTTTTTGCCATGTACAAGTCAATATATTAGCTATAAATCTTTGCGATGAAAAAAGTATTGGAGTTCTCCACTTATGTGAAATGAATTGGTAGGTTCCATTCAGTTGTGAATGAACAGCTATCCATATCATAGATACCACTATCACAATTAGCAGTAATTGTCCCAAGAGAGAAAACATAGATGCAATCTTTGAATGATATAGACAAAACCCATCACATCATTTGGGCTGTGTCCAGACTCAGGGTTTTTTTCGAAAAAAGTAGCCTTTTTTTCGAAAAAACTTCACCTGCGTCTAGACTGCAGCCGCGTTCTTTCGAAATTAAATCGAAAGAATGCGGCTTTTCTTTCGATGGTGGTAAACCTAATTCCACGAGGAAGAACGCCTTCTTTCGAAAGTGCTCTTTCGAAAGAAGGCGTTCTTGAAAGCAAACAGGCTTTTTAGAAAGAGAGCATCCAGACTCACTGGGTGCTTTCTTTCGAAAAAGCGGCTTGCTTTTTCGAAATTCCGCGTGCAGTCTAGACGCTCTCTTTCGAAAGAGGCTCTTTCGAAAGTATCTTTCGAAAGAGGCTTGCCGTCTAGACATAGCCCTAGAGGAATAATCCTTCTAGTTCAGGATTGAAACTTGATGAGGTAGTGAGGAGATACCTTCACTGCTGCTGCCAGAGTTGTACTACCTGTTTTGTGGATAAATAAAGCACTTAGTTCTCCATTGCTGTCAATCTAGAGCATCTCATGAATGCTAAATTAAAATACAGAAATGAAGGTCTTAGTTTTATATGGTTTGATTGTATTTTTAAAAGTTCTTTAGCAGCTGACTCACAAAGAATACTTTTATCCTTAAAAACATTGAAAAACATCTACCCAGCCAGCTCATTTTCATAAGGCAATTTGGTAAGCCTCAGAAGTTACTATGCATTTGCTTCTAATTTAATACTGATTTTTGTTTGTTTGAGCCAACTACTTTAACCACTTGGGTATTACTCTGCCTCTACTGAGGAATGAAACCTGTGCAAATGCATATGAGTAATGGCAGTACTGTATTTCAAGTAAGCTTATGATACATCCATTTAGTATATAAAGTGTAAGTCTTTAGAGAAAAAATCCAGTATTTAAACAAAAAATTAACTTTTAGAAGATAAGACAGAACTTATTTTTTCCTAATGTAGATTATATTGAGTGATTGGGTTGTGATGGGGATGGTGATTTTTCTGGTAGTTTCATGCAGATTTTATTTTTGTTGTGTTGGTTCTAAATAATGTCAGAAGCACTCAGAGTAGCAGATGGGATGCCTGTTTAAATATCCATTTGCATTCATCTTGAACCTCTATGTTGTGTTTATAAGCTCTGAAAGCTTATAGATAAATCCATTCTTGAACCACGTAGAGCAGTAAGCATATGATTGCCTGTGGGTTGGATTTATGGACAGAATAAATTGCTTCGTCTTTCAGGTCCTTCCAGCTTCACCATAGGTTAAGTGTTCCTAGCTGATATATTTTGCCAATCTAATTGTTAACAAGTTCAAAAATGTTTTATTTGAGATTTATCCTCAAATATTTTGATTTGTCTTGATGGCTCAGTAAATCGCGTGGCTTAAAAGGAGTTATTGTTTTATAAAGAGTAACATAACATTATCTGTCTCTCCACTTGGCTCATCAGAGAAAGTGGGTTTTATCCACGAAAGTTCATGATTCTGTGTGTGTGTGTGTGTGTATATATATCTATATGTATATATAAAATATTAGTTTCTAAGGTGCTATCAGACTGCTCGTTGTTTATAACATTATCTGATGTATGAAAAATGTTTGTGAACCCTTGTATACTACAAAATGGATTAGATTATTTTGTGTGGTATTTTGGAGTTCTGTATCTGAGTGAAAGGATGAACTTGATGATTAATTTTATTTTCCTTTTCATTTCCACAAATAGAAGACAACATAGAAAACCTCTGCCTTGCTTGCACCAGTCTCCATGAAGCCTTAGAAGAAGGAAATATGTTTGGAAAGAAATTTAAAGGAAGAAGTGTGCTACTGAAGACGCTATATAAACTAGTTGACATTGGTTCAGAACCTCTTGGCCTGAAACTGGCAAAAATTATTCTGGCTGTAAGTCGTCGTCAAACTATTTGGTGATATGAAAGAATGCAGTGATTCATGTGTACTGGATGTGCCATTGAAAACTTGTCTGATTTTGCTTTCCATACTTGAATTTAGCTTGGGTATAACAGCAGTGAGGTCACAGAAGCACAGGCTTCAATATGGGCTAGCTACCAGAGTAATTATTCAGGGTTTCATTTGGGACTGTACAGCCTTTGCTGCCTTAATGTCACTGCTCCAAGGCCTGAACTACCTAGCTTGTCTGTATGAGCTGGACACTCACCCTGTGAGTGCAAGATAGAGAGATCCATAGTATTTTGATCTAGGGATGTTAAATATTGGTTAATTGAATAGTCGATTAACCTCATGATTTCTTATCGGTTAAGTCGACTATTCTATAGTTCCTGGGGATGGGACTGGCAGCCAGTATGCTCTGACCCCACTCCCGGGGAGCCCCTGCTACCCTGCGCTTCTGGCTCTCTCTCAGAAGCAGCAGCATGATGTACAAGGTGGGAGCTGGCCCGTGAGGGGGAGCCAGTTTAAAAACCAGCTCCCATCACGTACCGGCTGCCTGCTATCCTACACTGCTGTCTCTGATACAGAGGCAACAGCATGGAGTGGCAGCAGCCCCTGTCCAGGGTAGGGCTTTAAGCTCCCGGACCTGGCGTGAGCTGGAACTGAGCCAGGCTGCCTGCCCACCTGGCTCCGAATATGCTTTACATGCAGAGCCACAGCAGAGGTAGGTCCTGGACTTGGCATAAGCCAGGACTGAGTCAGGCTGCTGTCCAGCCTGTTAAACAATTTACTGGTGGAGAGGGGGAAATGCATGTAGTCTGTAGCATTAACCGATAAGCTTTTGCTTATCGGTTATTTGACTATACTATTGCATTCCTATTTTGATCTGCTAAGAATGAGAAGACTAATCAGTGGAAACTAAGTTCAGTTTTATAATATCTTGTACTTAATAAAGCAATTTTATCTGAGGATATCAAAACACTATCCTGACTTTCTGTTTATGAATTAGAATTACCATAGCACCTAAAGGCAGGCCCCAAGTGAGATAGGGACCCCATTGTGCAAAACCCAGTATATGTAATTCATAAGAGATGGGCTTTGCCCTTGAGAGCTTGCAATCTAACCAGATGAAACAGAGGGTGAATAGAAATATTATAATGTCCATAATATTGATAGAGAGATTGGGACTTGTCCAGGTCACACAGGAAATCTGATATAACTAGGTGCTGATCCTTAGAATCCCAAGTTAGTGTCATAAGCACAAGATCATCCTTCAACTAAATGTCTTGTGCTCTAATCACGCTGCTTTTTCTGGGGTGGGGGGGAGGAGGTTCATTTTGGTTTTGTTCACCTAGGATTCTGAACTTCTAATGAAAATTAGTAATTCTTGCAGCTTTACACCAAAGCTGAGCGCTTAAGTCTAAACTTAATAGAAAATGAAATAAATGTTGAATTATTAGCAAAACTCAAACTAGAGAACACAGTCACTATTATGGTAAGATACTTGTGCTTCAATATAGTTTCAGAAGTGACTTTGAAATTCTTCACTTTCTTGTCACTGGTAATGTCAGGAGTCCTTTGATGATCCAAGCATATGAGAGCATGTCACTGCTTATAAGAGTATTACATTCCTTTTGTGTAATCTCTGCAAAGACAGGGAAACTTGAGCAGAATTGTTGTGGTATTCTTGATTGAAAGGCAGCATTGAGATGTTAAGTTTTACCATTACAATTCATAGAAAGGTTTCAGAAAACAGTAAGCATCGTTACCTTTGCTTTTGCAACAAATAGCTAATTAGAAAGGGCAAGTACTTGGTACCAGTTTATTTTTAGTAAATGCACAAAAATTAACTTTATTTTACCTTGCATCATAACTTTCCCTGAAAAAAGTTTCACATCTTATAATTAACATAATTCAAAACACATGTTGCATAACAAAAATAGTTTGAACATGTTACTAAAATTAAGGAGAGTTTAGTAAATTTCCCCATCCTATCCTTTAATTCAGTGTTGTAGTAACTGGGAACTTCAGTAACATGTCATTGTAACCCCCACACATAGATGTGGTGTACTCTCCTATCTAGTGGCACTTAGACTACTTTCAGAGAGAGAATGAGTTCACTCTATGGCCTTAGCTGAGAGCCAGCTGGCTTTTAGTTCAAGCGGTAGAGGCTTGTGCACTAAGCTCCAGAGGTCCTAAGTTTGGGTTCTGCCTGTCAGAGTTACAGGATATTTTCTTTATCTGCTAAATTTAGTTCCTAAGTTCTGCAGCTGTCCTGGGGCTCTGTAGCCACCTCCAGCTTAGGGATGTTAAATGGCATTTAATCAACTAATCAACTAGTTGATGGAATTTCCGTTGACTAGTCAATTATGTGATAAGTTGGGGAAACTGCGGAGCCACAGTGGGGTTAGCTCCTGGCCCCGGGAGCTAACCCTGCTGCTGCTCTGCCTTTTAAATGTATTAAGAGCTACTAGGCTCTTAATACATTTAAAAAGCAGAAGCACGGTGGGAGAGACCAAGTGCAAGCTGGGACAGCTGATTCCCAGCTCGTGCCTGGTTCCCCTTGCTGCACTTTTAAGTGTAATAAGAGCCTGCCAGCTCTTAATATATTTAAAAGGTTGAAGAGCAGCGAGGAGAAGCACAAATGCAGTGGGGCGGGGGGGGAGGAGCAGGAACTGGGCACAAGCTTTCTTGGATCGTGCCTGGGTCCCCGCTCCCTCTGCATTTTATCCTTTTAAATGTATTAAGAGCCTGGCATGTGACTTTTGTTTCTCACTTTCTCTCTGCAGCTCAAAGTAAGTGGAAAGAACCTGCTCAATGTCTGCAAGCTGGTATTTAAAATTAGTAGAAACGAGAAAAATGATTCACTCATTCAAACTGATGGTCTATTGGGTATGTGTTCCTTTTTCATATATACTAAAATAAATATTGAAATACAGTAATAGAATTGCTTGTTCTTCAAATGGGCTGGAAAATGACAGCTGACATTCGCTGTGACTTTATTCCCTACTCTAAAAATGTGAGCAGTATGAACATGGACAAGTGTGGGAGTGATGTGTAATGCTGTTTTTAATTGGTTGTTTTCAATAAAACTTTATCGTATAGCTTATTAACTTAGGCCCTGGAAATACTTCACACACATGCTTAACTCAAAGCATAAGTACAGTAAACTTCTGATAATCCGGCATCTTTAGGACCCAGGGGGTGCTGGATTATCAGATATGCCGGACTATCGGAAGGGGGGGTTATAAGGAGTCAGGGGTGGGGGGGGATGCCACC